CAGAACTGGCCCCAACACCGAGCCCTGGGAAACCTCTTCTCAGCTTAGACCTGAGGTCGGCACTTCTGTTTTGTGACCTGGGGGGGGAGGGGTGTCACTCACCTTTTACCCTTTTACTCCTTTCCCCATTCCTCAGTAGAGAGAGAAAGTGCCCCAGAATGAAATCCAGCAAAGGTGTGTGTTTGACCAGAGAAAGACTTTGCTGTGGTGTTTAGGGCAGAGGGGCAAAAAATGGTGAAGAAAACTTCTTAGGTGTTTTCAAACATTTGTGTTTTTTTTTTCTTTGCAAAAGTTTTGGGGGACTCGAAGTGGGTAGGAGGTAGTGTAGGGAGAGAGTTACCCAGTGGTAGTTGGTGATCCTGCCCAAAGCCCTGTGTGTCGCCTCTGTGGAGGGACCTCCTCGATCTCTCACCTTGGCTCTTCTCCCCCCAGTCCAAGACGCTGGAAGAGCTCTCGGAGATCTACGCCAGCGCTGCCGATGCACAGGAGATTGCAGCCACCAGCAGCGACCCTGTCCTGGCCCGGGAGCGACTGCAGTCTGTGCTGCGGGACATCGCCGGGGCTGCATCCTTCCCTGCCATCACGGGTGAGAAATGCCCCCGTGCCCCTCTTTCTTCCAGGGTTTTCTGCCGGCTCAGCCCCTGCAGCGGCAAGGAGCAGTTTTGCACAAAATTTCAACCTAGTGCAACAACAACTACAACAAAAAAAAAACACCAACCCAGGTCTTATTTCATAACCACACAATAAGCCAGAAATGGTTTGTCGTCTTTCATTAAAACAGCAACAAAAAAAAATTTTCCAGCCTTTGTGGGTGAGATGAAAACATTAAATCAGAAACCGATGGTAGCAGTCATGTCTGATGGCTCTTAGAGGTGTGAAATGTGCCCTCGTCCCAATTGCATGTGATTTCATGGAGATAATGACAGCAGCATCAGTGTTCTGCATGACCTGGGCTACCCAAAACATGTGCATGGGGTGGGTGACATCTCCCACCAGCCAGGAGAGCTGTCAGGAGCGACATTGGGGGTCCCTGCAAACTAACTCCTCTTCCTCCTCTCTTCCCAGGCGAGGCTCAGCCCCACAAGCTCCACACCATCCCCATCCCTGCCGCTCGCTGCTACACTTACAGCTGGGATCAGGATAACTTTGGTAAGCGGAGAGGATCCCTAATCCCTCCTAATGAGACCACAGCCCTCCGCTCCCCATAACCGCATTTCAGCTTGGCTGAGGCTGCCACTTGCATCTGACTGCATGACACAAACTGTGGTTGGAACCTGAAAGAGCCGAAACCAAATTGTTGGTGGTGGAGGGAGAGGTAACACAGTGGATGCCAGTGTCCCCTGGATGGGATAGGATGTGGGCATCAGCTTGGGCATGACACCTGCTGTGATCCGAAGCAAAGCTGGGATCATCTGAGCAGTGGGCACAGGACACTGATGGCCCCAAAATACGTGTTACCAGAGACAAATCATGGAGGACTTAATCTCCTGGGCGAAGTTGTGCCTTGCATTAAGCTGGAAGAGGTTCATTGCACCCGAGTTTGTGGGGTATTGGTAGGATGGAGACCTTGTTTGGTAGAAAGCTTCTCTGCAAGGAGTAAACTTTGTTTGTGCCCTGGAAATAATTGTTGCTAGGAAAGCCTGAAGACATTGAGATGTCAAGATTTTGTGGAGTTGAGACTCCTTGGATGTTGCAGCTTTTCCCCCACCCGCAGCAGGGATGGCCATGGGTGCCTTTGCCGTGCTCTCGACTCGGCTGCAGCAGTTTTGCAGGGGAAGCAGTGGCTTCCCCTTCTGCTGAGCTGCTGTCTCCAGCTTCCCCATTCCTGGAAGACCTTTTCTGTTCCCGTGAAGGTTTAGCTTGCTGGTCTCAGCAAGCTCTGGCTTGGACTTCGCAGTGAGTCCAGCCTTGCTGGGAGGCCACCAACAGTGGGGCCATTAAGGGTCTGATTAGCTAAATACCTTGCTTTCTTCCTGCCCTCCGGTTAAACCCGGATCAGACACGAGCGCGTTGTGAAATCTGTGTAGGAAGGAAGCAAAACCCCAACTGGAGTTTGCCTTTCGAGAACCCAAGCAGAATGTGACCTCGAGGAGAGAAACACGTTTTGTTTTGCATTGCACCTGAGTGCCTTGTGGAAATCTGAAATCGTTCAATAAGAGGTTTTCAGGTCCTTGTTTGAAAAGGTGCAAGATCAAAGAGAGCGTTGGCCACACTGTAGTAGTCTTGTTGTCTGGGGCCATCACATTTCCAGTGGTTATGCTGGAGCCTGTGCCAGACGCAGTCTCTGTCCAATTGCCTTTCAGATATCCTCAATGATGTCCTCAGCAAAGAGTGCAGCGTTGTTGAGCCCATGGCCTTGGAGAACGACGAGGAGGATGAAGAGGAGGAGGAGGAGGTGGAAACCGATGGCTGTTCCCCCGAGCAGGACTCACCTCTTTCCCCCATGTGCGCCATTTCCAAAGACTCTGTGTACTCGGCGCTGTCAGAGGAAGGATCTAAGCCATCGCGAGTGTCCCTCTTCACCACGTCCAAGGACTCCATCTCGGAGCTGACGATGGTCTCCAGAAAGTCCCTGAAGTCATTTGTCTCCAGTTTGAAGGACTGCATGGACAGCGGGTATGCGGAGGACAGCGATGAGAACTCCCTGGACATGGTGGGGAGGCCGGAGCTGAAGGTAGAGAAGACCCACCACAAATACAGACACACACTGACCAACAAGATCTACAAACTCTTCAAGAGCAAAAGCCAGCTGGTCTTGAGGAGGGACCTGAAGGACTGCCCAGACACGGGCTCACTCTCACTGCCCCTGCGCCGGGCCGAGAGCCTGTGCACTCCCCAGGCCAAGCACCGCATCCTGGCGCGCTCCCGGCGCGCTCACTCGCTGCCGCAGCACCCGTCGCGACGGGCTGCCAGCCCCGCTCGTCCCACAGCACCTCAGCCTCCACCGACGGCCCTTCCTCAGCTACGATGAGGATGCCAAGATGTCCACGCTGCGTGTTGTGGTCTTCGGCTCTGACCGCATCTCGGGGAAAGTGGCCCGAGCCTAAAGCAACCTCAGGTGAGCTGGGCGGTGCAAGGGATCCGGTTTTTTTTTGGGACATGCTAGAGGGCTTTGCTCACCCAGCCCTCTCCCACCTTCTCCTAGGCTCAAGGAGAGCACCTGCCCCTCACTGACAAGGTACTTCAAGCTGCAATTTTTCTATGTCCCTGTGAAGAGGAGCTGCTTGGCTCCATCGACTCCACTGATGCATCCCTCTCCATCCCTGGGGGACCCACAGCTCCGGGCTTCGGCACAGGTGGTAGGTGTTCTGCTCGCTGTGGGGCTTGCGGTGCCAGTGGTGCTCTGCTTGGCCTCGAAAACGGTGTGCGAGGAGGCTGGGGGGGCAGGCTGAGCGGAGCATTGGTGTCTTTTCTACCAACTCCAAGCATGGGTTGAGGAGCCGGGGGGGGGGCCCTAGAGTGACCCCCCCAGTGTGTCTGGTTTCAGGATCCCACCTTGGCTGGGAAGGAGAGCAGCACCAACGACATCTCCCACTACATTGGCATGTTGGACCCATGGTACGAGCGCAACGTTCTCGGGTTGATGAACCTACCCATGGACGTCCTGTGTCAGGTACGTGTGTGCCAGCTGGTAGGGCTTGGCATCCCCTTTCCCCAAGGTACAGGGGAGCTGAGTGGAGTTTCTGCTTAGCACTGGGCCACCACAGTCCTGTACAGGAGCCT